CAGGGGGGGGGGGGGGGGGGTGGAAACAAATTATACAGTATGTGCATAAAGCTGTAATGGCAATAAAATTCCTTGTGAAATTGAATCCAGTGTCACAATAAACTACAAACATTCGAATTGAAAATATACCCTACCATAAAGACATATGTTTACACCTTGCAATACTTCTCAACATCATTCTTTAGTGAAAGAACAAGATGTGCTTTGGAGCCAGGATGGATAAGAACTGAGAAAGTGTTATTTTTAACTTCAACAGTCTCTGATAACACATCATTGTAAATGAGAGAATGCAAAAATTTGTCAAGTAAAATACTTGGAACAAATGTCTTTTGCAAGCAAGCAAATGTACTTAATTTATCCAACTCATTATCTTTGATGCACTTTTGTGAACTTCCAATAAGAAAAAGTTTTAATGTATTGCAATTAATTTTCTTCCCAGACAGTTCTAACATTGCTTGGACAACTTTAAATGCGTCAGACGTCCCATCAGTCTTGATGTATGTCCCCCGGTCCTTACAATTGTCACAGCTTCCACCGCAAAAATAATCCTCTCTATTCTCCCCATAGTAATGCAGTATGGATGAATGTCGGCAGGTAACAGGATCTTCCAGAAATGAAATTAACCTGTTAAGCGTTAAAGACTGCTTTGAAAAGTCCCCACTGGCACGGAAGAGTTTCAGAAGTGCAGTTTTATCTGCATAGTTATAATAGGTTAAGCAAGTACTTAGTTGGCCATCACGGCCTGCTCTTCCGCATTGTTGAAAATATTCATCTAGACTGGTAGGCATTTTCGCATGAATAATGAATCTTACATTTCTGTTGTCAACCCCCATGCCAAATGATGTATTTGCAACCATAACTTTCACTTCACCTGATGTCCACTTTTGAAAACTGGCTTCTTTAACAGGTTGAGACAACTGACCATGGTATTGTACACACATTACATTTCTTTTCAATAATTCTGAATGTATCTTAAGTACATCAGATGGAAAGACACTGTAGACAATTCCGCATTCATCTTTCCTATTTAATATATACTGAGCCAATTCATCATAAAATTTATTTCCACTTGGCTTTTCCTGAACACGTAGGAACATGTTATCACGTAATACAGTTCCTTTGATAACTTCCAATGTACCAAACACTTCTGACAGTTCTAATACTAGTTGGTGGGGTATGGTTGCACTTAGCAGCAACTTTGGGCAAGGAAATTTTGCCAACTCATTTGCGGCACTTCTGTAATGAGGACGAAACGTATTCCCCCAACTGCAGACTGTATGGGCTTCATCAAAGACAATTCTTTCCACATGAACACTCATGAGTTTTTCCAAAACGTTTTTATTAGCAAACATTTCTGGTGTACAAAATACAAGTTTGAACTTCGCGAGTTCCTCAAGACAAGAATTACGAACATCAACTGGGATCTCACCAGTAATTTTGCAAGCTGGAATGTCTAAAGTTAAACATCTACTCAAGAGATCATCTATTAATGACAACGTTGGCACTACAACAATAGTAGGCTTATCAGCAAGAACAGCAGGTAGCATGAATGTCAAACTTTTACCACCACCAGTGCCAATAACTCCAAGAACATTCTTACCGTTCATGGTTGCCAAAATTATTTTCTTTTGAAGCGGTTTGAAAGATTGATGATTGAAATATTTATTTAATGTACTATCCACAAGATTTTCTTGAGAATTCAAGTCATGTAGACCATGAAAAGCAGATTGGTTTGAAGTTGGATTGTTTATAGTGTTTTGTGTATGAACAACTTCATGATCACTAGATGTTTGCATATCAGCGCACAAATCATCCTTTCCCTGTCTTTCAATTTTTAAAAGACTGACCCGCGGTACATTGTCGTCCCCAACTACAAGATTGTAAACGACAGTTCCTTCGCTTTCTTGGCATTCGCAAACGATTTCCAAAGGCGAACAATTGGGCGCCAAATTGGATGCCAAGCCAACGTGCATCAACAGAAACCCAAATTTTGTCGCTGCTTCAAAACTGCTGCTACATGTTAAGTTTGCCAGAATATTCAAAGCACTGACTTTATAATTAAATACTTTATCTTTTTCAAAACACGGAATCTTTTCAACCTGAGCCAATATTTCACTAATTTCGCGTTCTGAATACACGCCTATCGCATCCGCCATCTTGGATGACAAAATCCTCCCCACGCACATACCCTAGAGACGAAATCGCTGCGCAAGAAAGATGCGCAGAACGGCTCAACCATGTCGGGTTTTGGCAGGCATCTCACCGACTTTCTGAAGTACGTGAACTACGAGATGCCTGCGGAGGAGGCTAGGGCGAAACGTAGGAGGCCTCTGGAAATTAGTCTGCGCACAGACTGCCCCCCCCCCAAGTTGGAAGGAAGTGCGGTAAATACTTCATGTAGGCTAAAAACCTAAAATTCAATTCGGATTTTCTAATATGTAAAATTCTAAAGTCAGTTCCAAAATTCTTTATTTCCGCACTGAAAATGGGCGATTTGTCGGATAGTTCTAACCCGAAAGGACCAAAAACAGCCAAATTTGACAGAGGAAAGTAAAAAGGTCTTGTCGGAAATTTAAGGGTATATTCTAATATTCCCCATCACAGGAAAAAGTAAATTTCCAGGGAACGAGGTTGCACGGGCCTCGCACTTCAAATATACCGCCTGCTTCTTCGCTCCTGGAGTCTAGGCTCCTGGCTAAACTGGCCTTATGTTTTAGCTTAAAACTTATGGTTTTAGCACTGCACAAACGCATTTCGAACTGCACATTTTTCGCCCCCTCCCCATAAAGGAGAACAATATACTGATCAAAATTTCCTGCAATCCAAGGAGAAAGAAAAAAAAATCATTTTCTCGATTGTATAATCGAGAAAAAAAAATATCATGCAAAAGAGAGCGCTCAAAAAACAATTCATACATGTAAATCTACTGATGTTCTTCACTTCAGTATTGTGTCCACAGGCTTGCAAGATTTTGCATTTTTGAGCAGGCCCATTTGCTTAAAAGAACGTGGGGTGAACAGTGGACAACATCACTGGGATTCTACCGCCTTTGCCTTTGGCGCCTATAACATACGATAGCCAGTGGCGTTCCCTGGCAAAATTGTTGCCCCCCCCCCCTCTGAGAAAATCTGGGCTTAAGATATGTACTGTTCCGAAATATCACTTACTCGAACCGTCCTGACCGCGTAGCTCAGTTGGCAGAGCATTGGGCTAGTATTCCAAAGGTCGTAGGTTCGATTCCCACCGTGGCCGGGCATATTTTTCAAGCTCGCCCGGTGTGGATATACACTCAGAGTAACATCACAAACATCATATTCACCTGAGTACACAACACCAACAAAGAAAAAATCAAGTTTATAAGTTATTTATACATATCAAATATGCATGGTAGAAAAAGTATTTTTGGATGGTTGACTGTCTGTGTGCGTTTTTTGATAACATAGCTCCAAACTATTAAAGCTTCAAAGGCCCATCTACAGGATGCAAGTTCAACATACTGTATATACGATGATCGTTTAATGCGAAAATGCCAGTTTAGAGAGTCTAGATTTTAAAAAATTTCTGAAGAGGATGCAACCCGATCCCCAACAAGCGATTTGTATGAACGATTGAAAAGCTACAGAGCTATATTTGGTGGAACATTGTTGTTTCGGAGGGCAGTTAAAAATCGCATTATTGAAATCTTATTTTATTACATATTAATCAAAGCTCATTTTGTGATTTTCCCTTGTTTAAAATAAAGGACAGTAAGTGTTCCTTAGGCTTAGTACAGCAAAGTTGTTGCACGAATCCATGGCTGAAAACGCAGGAAATAGCATTTCCGAGGTTTAAATTTTTGAATTTTCTCGGGGAGCATGCCCCAGAACCCACCAAGGTTACAGGTCATTCATATACTGTAACTCCCGCATTCCCGAATACTCTACTCTATCCCTGCATGCTTTAGGTTTTGGTGCAGTTATACATTTTTTGGAAGTAAACCTGCACGCTTTAGTGTGGGGAACATTAAGACATAACCATATAAAATAAAGCACTGTGAAAATTCCTTGGCTCCTCTTGGGATTCAGGCTCGGCCTCCTCTGACTTATAACCCCGGCTACGTCTGACGATATAGCTATATGAAAGCCTTAAGTTACTGTAAGCAGTTATTATGAGGGGCAAAAAAATATCCTGCCGCGAAATATATTGGGAAAAAAATATCTTGCGCTGCACTTTTACAGGAAAAAAAAATCTGTCTTATTCCCTTGGGCGCGGAAAAAAATTCTTGCACAGTCTGAATCTTACAACCCCCCCCCCCCCCCCCTCAAAAATCAAATGGTCCGCCCTATTATGGCGTCAGTTCGTCGTTCATTTGGACGTGTCAACTAGTCGTTTACTCGTTTCTCGAGTTCGTCGCGGCGTCTAATAATTCGTCGTTGTATGTCTCATGTCTCACTTCGTCGAGGCGTATGTTTTCGATCTCTTCATCGCGGCATGTATCCAGTACGTGATCTCTTCGTTTGACCATGGGTAATTTTATTATCCATGGTTTGACGTTGCGTCGAGGAGATGCATGACGCGACGAAGTGACACAACTGCCACTGGATACACACCGCGACGAAGAGACCGATATCTGTGTCGAAAATATACGCCTCGCAGTGGCGCCGTGGCCGGGGGGGTCATGCCCTCCCTATTGTTGAGACCCGTCGGAACAGGGGCGTAGGAAGCTTCTAAAAGTTGGGGGGCAGGCTTTGAGGGGCACTTTTCGAAAAAAAGGGCATCTAAAAAATTTCCCCCGGAAATGTTGGCGATGGGGGGGGGGGGAAAGAGGTCATCTCAAAAAAATTTTCCGGACATACCAAAAACATTTTCCGGAAATATCACATTTTTTCCTAAATATGAAAAAAAATTTTCCGGATATACCAAAAAATTTTCCGGATATATGATATTTTTCCCGGAAATGAAAAAAAGTTTCCGGAAATAACATAAATTCAAGTTTTCAAAAATGCCCTTTGGGCAAAAAATGCAATCTTAATGACATTTTTCATGCAAGAAAAGGGCACTTTGCTCCCGGAAAAAGGGCCGGCATATACCAGCGGGAATTTTACTTAGCTTTCCTTCGTTGTTTGACAATGCGAAACATGTTTGAATAAAAAATATACTAGTAGATGAAATATCGAAAATCGGACTCAGTTTGTGTTTTCCCAATATAAGTTTATAGAAAAGTCAATATTTAATTCAATATGATTTCATATATTATTGGAGCGGGTGAATAAGTTTTTGGATCGTCGGATTTCACCGAAAAAATTGTTCGGATTTTGGATCTGGCAAATATTTTACACGGATTTGCGGATCTTATAGTACAGCAGATTGCGGATTTATCCAATATTTTGCTCAGATTTAGCTTGCAATTCAGTTAATTCGGATCCTGGATTCTGACTCCATATAGTAGAGCTTTTAGTGGATCAAATTTAAACAAGACCATTGTCGGTCGGCGGATTTTGCTTCAATTTTAGGTGGATCAGCGAATTTGAATATCCCTATTCACCCTCCCCACTCCCCATTATTTATGTCGGAAAAAATTGTGTTTGTCGGGAAAATGTTGCCCTTGGACCCCCTTAAAACACGCCTCGACGAACTCAAGAAACGACTAGCTGACACGTCCAAGTGAAGGACTAAGCGACAGTTGACGTGACGAAATGAACATATTGTCCACAAACTGATGCCACTGAAAAGGACACTTGTGATGCTCGAAGGTTAGTGTTTCTTTTTGTTTAGTTTCTTTTTCTTTTTTTCTTTCTTTTTCTTTTTGTTTTTTCTTCTTTTTTTACTTGATTGTTATCGGTTTTGCTTACGTGACCAAACAGATCTACTGTAAACATACTGATCTACATTTAAGCCGAATTGATATTCACAATATTTTGTTCAATAGGCAATTCCAGCTTTTAGCGGTTTATGCGTGCAGGGGACGATGGGAAGTAAGGTATCACATTGCTGATTATGCTGAAAAAATAAAAATGGTGGCCGTGTAAACACGGAGTGATAGCTTATACTTGTAAATATTGAAATATTTCGGTTGTTTCGGTAGTTTTTATTGAATTTTTTCAGCATAATCGGCAATATGATATCTTACTTCCCATCATCCCCTGCAGGCATAAACGAAAAGCTGGAATTGCCAATACGCAAGCATGCATACACATTACACACATGTTAATTCTGGTGATTTAAGATATCTGCTCAATTTTAGTTTTACCTCGCATTGTTCTCATATGTTAAAATGACTTGGGAATTTCTTTTCCCTTATAATGTAGATATCAACGACAAACGGGGGAAATTTGGTAGCCACGTATTCTGCTCTTGGGCTCCGGAGCAATTGCGCACTTTGTTAGGGAAAGTACATTTATTACACCGAGGGGGGATGAAGATGTCTTGAAGAAGCTCATATTTGTACAGGGCCCCTATTGAGGTTATTGGTAAATTTTCGACGCCCCCCTTCCAAGTTTGTAAAATTTTCAATGCCCCCCCCCAAAAAAAAATTAGACCTAACCAGGAACAGCAGCTGCGAAAAATGCAACTTCAAATTCGAAGACCAGCGGTTTATTTTAGCGTGCAGTTCTACACAAAATGTGCAGTTCTAAATCTATTTGTGCAGTTCTTAAACCGGCTGACAAATGTGCAATCACCAAACTAACAAAAGTAGCCTTAAAACAGTCTTCTCATTTACTCGTTACCCTTGTGGATGCTCCGGAAAATTCCAGAAATGCTGTCATTGCATGAGCATAAAAAATATAAAAGTTTTCTGGGAGAGGACCCCCAGACCCTCCTATTTTCCTTACACTCACTTACGTGCTGGGGTATTTGAAAAGAAGGTAAAATTGGGGCGAGCGAAGATCCCCAAAAGAGATTAGAGTGGGAGAACCTAATATTCTTTCCTGCCTGAAATGCAAATTAAAGGTTATTATATATTGAATATCCATCCAGGATGCCCAGTTACATGTTTTGAAACCGTTTTTGTGAGTGGTTGGGTAAAACAAATCTTTGCCAGAACTTAAGAGCCTCTAGATTCAAATTATTTTGGGGAACACTCCCCCCCCCCTTACTCCCGCACCCAACCACACCATTATTCTGTCACTTATATGCAGATAAAAAATCCTTTGACACCCCCAGTCAAATACCCGTTGGTTTTGCAACATCTCTATATGTGCAGTTCTAAATTTTTCTTAAAATAAACCCTGTCGAAGACGACGTTGAAAAGCAGGTGAGGTCAAATCTTTTTCTAATGGACAATTCCCATTATAGACTAATTTTTTATCTTGGCAAAAAAAGTATCTATTCCCAGAAAGAGCATACTAAAATTAGTAAAATTGCAAAGTTTGGTTGCGCAATGTTGTAAAATGCGGAAAATATAGCCTTGCAAAGTTCGCAAATTTTGTATACTTTTGTATTGCGTGCGAAAATTACTGCCACAGTTGGGCCGAAAATGGCAACCTCGTTCCCAGGCTCTTTCCTTTACGCTCCTAGCTGGAGAAAATACCCTAGCTTGGGGCTGGTCACGTGTACCCTAAATTCTGGGTGGCAAAAAGTATAATTGCTGTGAGGGGTAGTAGAGGAGTCTGTTTGTCGCGTTTGGAAAATTGCAAATTATGCTTTATAGTTTCGGGTGATAAACATGCACTTTACAACAAGAAATCGTCAAAGGAACTATTCTAAATTCGTATTCATCATGACACGACTTCCTGCTGTACTGAATGTCATCAATAATAAGTGTTGCGGTACATTTCAAGCGAGAAGTTGGATCATATTTCACTTGCAAGGAAAGGACTATATACACGCGCCTCGCTTGGTATGACTAAAGGGAGAGTTACCAACCGGAGAGTTATCTCGGAGAGTTAGGATTTCGGAGAGTTATGTTCGAACCACGCCCAAACCACGCCCACTATCCCCAATGACCACACCCAATTTCGCTCAAAACTCTCCCGACGTTTCCTTGAAGTAACATGAGAGTTATGTTTGACGTAGCTCTCTCTCGTTTACATTATGAAAATGTTAGAGAGTTATCCTTTTTTATAACTCTCCGCGTTCACGATTGTGGCAATGAAGAGAGTTATGTCAGTTTATTGAGAAAACCTTTAAATAGTAAAGCTTGTTTCTTCAGATTTTCATCTTATATTTTGGTATTTCAGTTTGTAGCGTGCCAATAGCGTGCGTCCAAACAGGAAATAGAACAACTTGACTCGGTCAAAACAATGAGATGCTTGCCGCAGAAAGGTCAAAGTACCCGCAGAAGGGTCATGTTTTGACGTGTATTTGGCAGTAAATACGGTAAGCATAGTTGCAAGAAAATTGAAAAAATTGCGAAAATTGAATCTTTCAGAAATTCAGGTTTTGCAAATATTTTCCCATATCAGCCAATATAGGGCATTACATTGGAAAGGTTTTCTGGTTCTATCTAATACGAGAGCTGTATCTGAATGTTGGGCTTTGTAGGTAATCCAAGTGAGCATGTATAATAATTTATTTACTCGTACTCGCTCCACTTGGTAAGTACTAAAGTACTACTAGTTTCTACTAGCGTGGAATATTAAAGCTGAATCTTGAGAAAAAAGTAAATTCACAATAATTTACTAAAATGTGGAAGTTTTTTTCAAAAAACTGACATAACTCTCTTCATTGCCACAATCGTGAACGCAGTGAGTTATAAAAAATGATAACTCTCTCAGACTCTCACTGAACATCTTCATAATGTTAACGAGAGAGAGTTACGTCAAACGTAACTCTCTCATGTTAGTTCAAGGAAACATCGGGAGAGTTAAGAAATTGGGTGTGGTCGTTGGGAAAAGTGGGCGTGGTTAGAACCAACTCTCCGAAATCATAACTCTCCGAGATACTAGTAACTCTCCACTTCATAACTCTCCGTTTAGCCGGTCCCCCCTCGCATGTGAAGTTGAGTACGCATCGGCGTCGCCGTAGAAACATAAATGTCTTCTACACCGACTGGTCGATCAAACGAACGATATGGTTGTTTATAGTTGAAGTGTATCCTGTGTGTAAAAAATGCTATCCTATAACTGTGTGTAAACAATGCTACCCTGACTGTGAACGCACTGGATTAAAACCCGTTCTGGACTGTAACATGTATGCATTTACATTGCTCAAACTCAACGATGAAGAATGATTATATCGAAGTATAATACTAAAGCTATCTGTTATCACACGAACGCCAAATATACTCCTCCGTGCGTGGTGTACAACTTGGGTATTTTAGGACGAAACTTGCGACCAGACAATGGTATTGTACTTTAGTGCATTAGTAAATTATATACAACTTACTATACTTATATACTATTTTATAATATAGCATTTGTAAATTCTGAACGCTGATTGGCTAAGAGCCGTGTTGATATAACTCCATGTCAACACGGGAAATTTTCCGCCGCTTGTAACACGGAAATTGTTCTTATTCTTCGGGCTTTTGACATTGCTATATTATAAAACAAATATAAAACATTTTGTCCGTATTGATATATAGTTATATCAACACTCGTGGAAGTTGGGAAAACTCGAAATTGTGTGAAAACACTCCGCCCTTCGGGCGTCGTGTTTCCACACAATTTCTCGTTTTCCCAATTTCCACTCGTGTTGATATAACTGTACTTCCTTCGCCTTTCCCTTTGCCGCCTGCGCTCCTTCGCCCAGCGGCTACGCTCGTGTTTCAAGATCCGCCATGTAAAGTGTAGTGAAATGTATCATCGTAATACTAAATCCTAAGAAAACTAAAGCCTCTGCGGAGGAGAGAGCTATTACTATACTTTAGTAGATATAGCAAATTATTTCATATTTCATGTATTTAATAGAGTAATTTACGGCAGGTACATTAAAAATCGTTTAAAGACTTTTCATTGACATTACCATTGGCCCACTGGGGAATTGAAGAATAATCCCACTTAAAATCCAGCTTCTTGCGACTTGTATCATGACCTCTGTGGGTCATCAATACAATACTGATTTATATCAACCTTTATTCATGCAGTAAACTTTATCGTATACTGTGATCGACCTTCTAGAGGTTTCACCAAACGATGCTGGAGACAAATAACCTATCTATCAATGGAAACTCTAAATATTTTATTATATTCATTAAATAATTCTATGAGCGAGATGTCGTGCGCACATAATTTACTGTTTATGAATTTAATATGTATCCCTGATTAAACGTAGGGACACTTTATACCAGGTATAATAAAAAATACTTTGCTAAAACTTATCAGCTATTATTCCTTTGCATTCAAGGTCGGCGAGGGTAAATGGCTATAGAGTATAGAATTATATTAATAATATATTGGCTACCCCAAAGGTATTTGTTGGTGACATACCAGTTAAAAGGGTAAGAGAAACAAAGGCACTTGGAGTCTATATTGATGAATTTCTATTATGGGAAAAGCATATTGATAAAATTGCAAAAAAAGTCTCATCCGGAATTGGGGCAATCAGAAAGTTAAAATCATGTGTAGACCGTCATAGTAATACATTAATTTGTGCCTATAATGCACTTGTTTTGCCTCACCTTGATTACTGTTGGTACCACACCATTGGTATCACACTTTCTGATCGTCTCCAGAAATTACAAAATAGGGCTGCTAGAGCTATCGTGGGTCGTAAAAATGAACATGGTCAATCTGAACTTGCTCTAAATGAATTAAACTGGAAGCCTCTGAGCGAACGCAGAACCCAGTTTGTGGCAAGTCTTATGTATAAAATTACTCATGATCTAGCGCCCTTACGACTTACTGATATTTTTTAAAAGACGTCTTCCTCATGGCCACTGATAGTTGGGCTTACAATATTGACCGCGGCAATATTAATGCCGTGGTATTTCTAGACCTGAAAAAGGCTTTCGATACGGTCAACCATGAGATCTTGTTGTCTAAACTCAGAAACTATGGAATTCATGGAGTTGCCTACAAATGGTTTAAGTCATATTTGGAAGACCGTAGGCAGAAATGTTTTGTTAACGGGTCACTTTCAAAAAAATGTAGTCTTAAGTGTGGAATTCCTTAAGGAACGATCCTAGGGCCGCTCCTGTTTCTGGTATTTATTAATGATTTACCAAATTGTTTATCTAATTCTCATCCCAGAATGTATGCAGATGACACTAATCTTACATATTCTGGTAGCGATACAAACACTATTCAATTTCATCTTAACGAAGACTTGGAAAACATTAATGAATGGTTAATGTCAAATAAACTTACTTTAAATATGACTAAAACTGAGTACATGTTAATTGGGTCGAGACAACGTTTAAAGTACTCTTTCTGACAATCCTTCTTTTGAAATAAATGGAATTCCTTTAGATCGAGTTTCGACAACAAAATCACTTGGTGTCTTATTAGACGAAAATCTTACTTGGAGTAGTCATATCAATAAAATGACAAAACGAATTGCTTTTGGTATCGGTGCTATTAAGCGGTTGAGGTCATTTGTTTCATTGGAAACATTGCATGTTATTTACCAAGCTCTAATACAACCACATTTTGATTATTGTAATGTCGTGTGGGAAAATTGTGGGAAAACTTTATCTAACAAACTTCAAAAACTTCAAAACCGTGCAATGCGGGTGTTGACCTTTTCCAACTTTGACGCCGATGCCAATAGCTTATTGGAAAAGCTAGGGTGGGATGATCTAAACCAACAACGCCAATTTCAAAAAGCATTGATTGTTTTCAAATCTTTAAATAACCTTGCACCCGAATATCTATGTTCTAAATTTACTAATCGCAATAATGTAACTTCTTATATACTTCGAAACTCCGTGAACAAACTTGCTGCTCCTTTACCCCGCACCAATTATCTTAAAAATAGCTTTAGCTATAGTGGTGCAGTGTTATGGAACAGCTTACCTAGCAATATAAGACAAGCGGAATCTCTTACTGAATTTCGACAATTGTTGAAACATCATATTCGATAGACACGGCATTCATGGAAAACAGGTATAAATATTAATGTAACATAGGCGTGAAAATGTATAGATAACTTTTTTGTAAACCTGATGAAGCTACCGTGCTTAAATAAAGATTTGACTGACTGACTGACTGACCCCTACTTTAGTATTTACCCTGTCCAACGCCAGACGATTTTTAATACTCAGTCAGTGGTAGGCTACTGTCAATAAATGGGTTAACAAGGATAACAATAATTAGCCTGCATGGCAGGCGGTATTTCCCAGGCTTGCCCAATTTTAGGAACCGCCTGCCATGCAGGCTAAACAATAATAGGATGTTTCTGAAGGACTCGTTCAACACCCTGTAGTTTGTCTTTTGCTGTCAAAGGCAGCATTACTGCCCTGTGGGTAACCTAGTTATTATCATTATTTGACTGTGAGCTCGAAGTGAGTTAATCCCAACCGGAAATACGACTGAAAAACGTCAAAACAATGCGACGTTTCTATCGTATGACCATGCAACTGCCAGAAATGGTTCGGAAGGTCAAATTGCAAATCTAGAATAGACATTCGATGTCTATTTGGCTAGTGTCCAAATGTGTAACGTTTGAGTTTGACGTCATCCCGGCCACAGCAGCTTTTGACGTCATCCCGTCATCACTACACGCGTGAGTTTGACGTCATCCCGGCCACAGGAGCTTCTTATTGGCCAATTATTGCGCAATGTACGTGAGTGCGAGTAAAACTCGACATCTTGAAAAAATCAAAATAAATATTTCTACTCGGCGTAATTTTGTACATGAAAGCCCTTGAATACAAAGAGTATTTTACACATATAGCCGTTCAGCAAATGACGAAAAGTTCAAGAGATATTCAACTAATTCAAGACTTTCTGGATATGAATTAAATTTAGAATCATTGGCCAAGCGGTGAGTAAATGTGACAACCCTAAACCAACTACCACTAGTTTATGATCGAGAACTCAGAGACCTTGTTTTGGTTTATAAATCTATCTTCGGTTGTATTGACTTGAACATTGAACAGTTTGTATCTTTTGTGCAACATAGTCGTTCTCGCTCTCAAAATCCATCCCTAGTTTTGAAACCTTCGTACTGTAAAACATCAACTTTTCAGGCTTCGTTCTTCAACGGAGTAGTTAAGCCTTAGAACTTTGTTTGTAAAATAGCCTCCACAGATAAATTTGCAAGCCGAAGTATTTTTAAACGCTTCCTGCATGGGACATACTCCAACCTGGTCAAGGATACTTTTAATGTGGATATATGCCATGCACTTGGTCACTCACACGCGACTGCTCCTGCCATCGTTCCTAAACTGCATTGTGTATATATTCACTGTAAATAGATCTTTTTTCTCTCTTTTTCTTTTTGTTATCTAGTCATACTTATATTTAGGGGTTGTGCCTTGCATGGGTCTCGTTTTCCCGTTTGCACTAACCCCATTGGACGTTCACCTTGTAATCTAGAATTTCTATGTCCAATAAAGCTTATAAAATAAAAAAAATAAATATATGATTGTTTCGGTTTGTGTAATGTTTTGACGGCACTTGACCCCCATTCGAAAGGTTATTTTGTGAGGATTTCAATGGTGGCTTTTATTTAAAAGGGAGGTAAATACTCGCCGAGATATTTATATTAGAAAAATTGGGTCGTAATGTGATGCGAAAGGGGGTGGACGAGAAAGAGTTTTAGGGCCTATCATGTTCTTAGTATATATAAACGACATATCGAATCGAGTATCGAATGGTCTGGCTTCATCAGTTAAGTTATTCACTGACGATATGAAGATTTATAGAGTGTTGAATTTTGAGAAACACTCAGATATATTACAGAGAGACTTAAATAAACTCGAATCATGGAGTTCTGATTGGCAGCTGAGTTTCAATCCAACAAAGTGTGAGGTAATGCGCATCACGAAGAAGACTGATTGCTCAACGCCTTGTTACATGTTGATGGATAAAAGGTTGAAAACGGTGGACGTATATAACTAAGGACCTTGGCGTAAATATTACATCTAAACAATACTGGAGTTTTCACGTTAGTAAATGTGTCAATAAAGCAAATCAGGTCTTAGGATTTTTGAAACGTACAGTTGGCCCAAAGAACGATCGATTGTTTCCCAAATTGTATATGAGTTTAGTACGTCCAATTTTGGAATATTGTGTTCCAGTTTGGTCTCCTCGCCTAAAGAAAGACATTTCTGCATATTGCCGCATTGGAAAAAGTGCAAAGACGGGCATCTAAATGCGCTTTAAGAAATTACAACTCCAAATGTCTTACGAAGAAAGATTGAGTTTGCTAAAATGGCCTACATTGGAGGAAAGAAGACACATACTATCTTTGATAGAGTGCTAATAAGACAATTCATAGATTAAATGGCTTAGAACCATCGATGTTTTTTTAAATTTGCGATTGATATTGTGAATAAATTATTGTGATTGTAATTGTGATTGATCCTTACTCAGGAACGTTTTAGTATTCTTATGCTCCAGAACATCATTTTCGACGTTTTCTGAAGCGAATTTGCACACAATTATATGGCAATTGCTTTATTCTTAGGAATACGTAGGGGGAAAACGTAATTTCTTACTCATTTCCTTTGTCGGGGATTGCCTCCCTTGTTTCGCCCAGCAGTTCACGATAAGCACACGCTCATTTTGGTGAATTATGTCAGCAAAATATACAAAATAAATCACAATCTCTAACTTGCATTGCTCATGATATAATCACCTTCAAACACTGCTCTTTCACACAAGAAAAGAGAACCCCTTTAAACAATAAAAATTGCGAATACGTAATAGCTCCGTACCTGGCACGAATTAGCACAAAATAACAGTAACTCCGAATAACATTTTGATTTTTAATCGACGTTTCGATTAGTTTGTAGTCATCCTCAGGATTAAGAAATTGATTATTACATTTTAATTATTACGTTATTTTTGATTATTATTATTTTTCTTCAATCCTGAGGATGACTACAAACTAGTCGAAACGTCGATTAAAAATCAAAATGTTATTCGGAGTTACTGTTATTTTGTATTTTACTTACTTACTTACCTAAAAAATGTATTTAACCACGCTGGCCATACACAACATATTTGTAAAAATACAATGAGTTGATTTTCAGATGGGGCGTGTTATACTTACAAACTATCTTAACTCACATCCTAGTCTCCGGTATAGTGGGCATACTGCATTTATTGGTAAAGCGAGGATGCGTTTTTCGCCTCAGAAGGAAAACTATTCCACAGCATTGCACCACTATACTTAAAACTTCGTTTAAGATAGTTTGTTTTAGGTTTTGGAAGTGCTAGATCAGTATCATTACTTCGAAGATTATATTCTCTATTTAAGATCTTTAATTTTTATAAATTTTTCTCTAAGACTTGGAGCGGACTGCTCATTAAGAATTTTGTACATCAAAACGCTCTTCAGCCTATGACGTCTTACATCGAGCGTGGACCATTGCAGATCCTCCAGTACATTTGCCGAGTTGACATCAAATCTTGCTCCTGTTATAACTCGCGCCGCTCTATTTTGGAGCACCTGTAATTTATCTTTATGGACCTTCCCGCATGTATCCCACAAAGGGGAGCAATAATCAAAATATGGCTGAATCAGTGCTTTGTATAACATCTTTAAGGAACGCAAAGGAACAAAGGGTTTAATTCTTCTTAAGGCACCAGTCCATTACATTAACTAAATCATAATTTAATTTATCGATAAGATCTTCAGTATCGTGAGAGGAGACAAATATTTGTGTATCGTCTGCGTATAAACATGGAACTGTGGATTCAAGACAATTTGGTAGATCATTGATATAAATTAAAAACAACAAGGGATCTAAAATTGACCCTTGAGGTATTCCAGATATTATTTCTTTTTTCGTTGAAAGAAAACCACTTACAAAAGTTTGTTGGTTTCGGGAAGTTAGATATGATTCGAACCAATCATGTTCCACCCCAGTAATTCCATAAAATTTCAGTTTCTCAAGAAGGATCTCATGGTCAATAGAATCAAATGCTTTGCGAATATCTAAAAAGACAACACCAGTCAGTTTTCCGTTGTCCATATTTTCAAACCAATTATCACACATTTGGATTAGAGCTGATAACGTGGAATAACCTAGGCGAAAATCAGATTGAAATTTCGATAAAAGTGAATTTACATTAAAATATTGATAAATTTGTTGAAAATGACTTCTTTCTCAAATACTCAGTTGCTTAATATTGGTAATATAGAAATTGGTCTGTAATTTTCCATATTACGACGACTTCCCTCCTTATAAATTGGATTTACTTGTGCATTTTTCCAATCATCTATAAATATCCTAGTGGAAAGTGACAGATTGGATATATATGTTAGAGAGGGAGCTATAATGTTTGCAGCAATTTTTAATATTTTGGCAGAAATATTATCCAAACCTGTACTTTTTGAAGTTTGTAAATGTCTCAGAGTTAGCAGAACTTTATCAACTAAGACGTTCTCAAAAAATACTCTCTTAAAATACTGAGTGGTTCCCGTAATTACTGGATTAGCAGAGGCTGGGGGGTTACGTACTCCCTAACTCCCTAAGCTGTCGCTGGACTGGTACTACCAGGTACCATCATAATGGTTCTTCCTGGTACTGCCAGGTACCATCGTTGTGAAGTTCACATGTAAGTATTTCTCTTTAATGTCTTTAATATATTATTTACTAGGTTACCTTAGAGGTAGTGAATGCTGCCTTTTCGTGAGATTGCGGCAGAGCCCCCAAATGCCCCCATAGTCACTTTTTGTAGGGCTATGCCACCTCAAATAATGTTTACACTTTTTGAGTTGTTTTATTCTTATTACATTTCATTACGTTCATAATTTGTGAATGAACTTCATGTAAATATTAAGATGCTCTTTTAATGAAACAAACACATTTATTAAGTACTAGTTAAAACATGAGCAGCCGATCTAAATTCGTATATTTACTCACCGCTTCGCCAAAAAACATTCTGTATTTCATATCGAGAAAAAAAACTTGAATATCTTCTAAACTCTTCAGAATTTTCTCAGAGTCAATGTGAGTAAAATACTCCTTGTATTCAAGCGCTTTCATGCAGAAAGTTTAGTTTGAATACGGCAAGTAAAACTTTTTATTTTTGAATTTTTCAAAATATCAGGTTTTTACTCGCACGCACGCGCCCGTGTATAAAGAGAATCGAATAGCATGCAGAATCGATTTCCGGTTTATCCAGACCCCACGTTTCACGGGCCGCTCTAAAATATAAATATTCTGTAAATACCGAAACAAAAGATGAAAATCTGAAGACACAAACGTGAAAATAACACTTTACGACACTCTAAATAGTGTTTTGGATTCTGGTTCGAATAAGACTATTACGAAAAAGATATGTCCAAAGGAGCCGAAGTTATGTTCGGCGAAATGTATGGCTTTGGCTATAGTTTACATGATTTGATTGATTGCACAAATGACTGATATGTGAATTTAGACAGAAAAATGTTTAACCTGGTTGCCCTAATTGACTTAAAAAATGCATTCGAATGATTCGATACAGTCGACCATCAAATTTTATTGAGGAAATTGGAGCTGTACGGTATAAAAGGCCAGGCACTATCTTTTCTCAATTCATATCTCTTAAATCGAAGTCAGAAATGCCAAATAAATGGATTTTTGTCATCGGAGAAAGTGATTAGATGTGGTGTGCCACAAGGCCTATTTAAATCTATTTTAGGGCCATTATTCTTTTTATTGTACATCAATGATTTGCCCCAATGGCTATCAAAAACAAAACCTCGGTTATTTGCTGACGACACAAACCTGACAGCTTCTGCCGTTCTGGCGACTCGATAACTCGAGCTCGTCTTGAAGCTACATGAATTCTGATTTAGAAAACCTAAAAAAATGGCTAATTGCAAATAAACTTAGCCTCAATGTTGCGAAAACTGAATTTATGTTAATTGGCTCAAAACAAATGATTAAAAGTATTTCAAATTTGCAGCCAAATGTGGTAATTGAAAACAACAGATTAAACAAGTGCATGAGTGTAAATTAAAACTCTTGGAGTGACAGACGACCAGCATTTGTCGTGGAACGGTTAACACCGGAAAATATTTGCAGGAAAATAACATCAGGAATTTCTGCTCTTAGACGTTTAAAGGATTTTGTTGACAGGCAAATGCTTCTTTCCGTTTACAATGCTATTATTCGCCCACGCATACTTCGATTCATGCTGCTGTGAAGTATGGGATGTGTTCGGTGAAACACAATCGAAACGACTTCCAAAAACTCCCAAAATAGAGCTGCTCGAATTATCATGAATATGAGCAATGACACAGATCATTCTGTAGCATTGCAAGCATTGGAATACAGTCCATAGTTTTTTTTTTTTTGTAGTGTTTGTGTAATTTCATAGAGGCTGAGCCTCTGGTATTATGGCAATGAATAACATTGTTTTTTATGCAAAGTGAATCAAATTGAGGTGGTAGTGTATTTTTTACTGCGTCGAATGTGAACAAACCAACTTGAAAAGCATTTATCTTATTAATATTTAGTATTTCTAGCGTTGAAAAAAGGGTTGAAGATGAGAAAGTATAAGGCAAAAATGATATTATTTTCAGAATCTTTTTCTGTATCGTTGATACTGACTTTAATCTTGTTTTATAGTTGCTAGCCCATAGTATATTACCGTAATATAAATGTGGGTAAACAAGAGTATGATATAGAGTTATGAGATGTTTTTTATTTAGGTAGTGACGAACTTTACAAAGAATGTTAGATACTTTTAATAATTTCTTAGTTATGTAATCAATATGACTTTTCCATGTTAAGTGTTCATCAATTATAATACCAAGGAATTTAGTTTCTTTAGCATTTTGTATAATTTTATCATTAATCTTAAAGGTTAGATTTGCGTTATGTTTTTTCCTGAATGATTTGAATATAATGTAGTTAGTCTTTTTAATATTTAAGGTAAGCTGATTATCCTTAAGCCATGTTTGCACAAGTATAAGTTCATGATTTATTTCTATTTCAAGTTGTTTCAGGTCTTTTCCTGAACGAAATAAATTGGTGTCATCTGCAAACAATATAAACGAAAGATTACTAGAGCAATGTATATCATTGATATATAAAAGAAAAAGTAATGGGCCCAAAACTGTTCCTTGAGGAACTCCACATTTGATCGTTTTTTCAGTTGAGTAAGTTACATTATATTTAACTATCTGTTTTCTGTCAGTCAAGTAATTTGCAAACCAATCATTGCATATACCTCTAATTCCATAATGATGAAGTTTAGTCAATAAGATTTTATGATTTACGGTGTCAAATGCTTTAGAAAGATCTAAGAAGATACCAACAGTATATTCCCCGTTTTCTATTGCAGTAGATATTTTGTCAACTAGATCAATCATTGCGAGACTTGTTGAGTATTTCCGAAATCCGTATTGTTTGTCATAGAGGATATCATGTTTAGTGATATAGGATGTTAATCGTTTAAACATTATTTTTTCTAGTATTTCTCCAAATCTTGGTAAGACTGAGATAGGTCTATAATTCGTAAATTTGGTTTTGTCACCAGTCTTATAAATGGGTGTAACTAGCGACATTTTTAACTCATGAGGTATAATACCACATGTGAAGGATAGATTGAAAACATGGCACAGTGGTATTGAAATAATATGTGAAATGTGTTTAATAAGTTTGGAACTTATTCCATCGATTCCGCAGCTGCTTTTAGATTTCATAGAGGCAATTATTTCTTCAATTTCTTTGTTTGAAGTGCTCTTTAGAAACATAGATTTTTGATAGTCACCTTGTAGGTGCTTGGTGAAATTGTTAGAATTCTGATCGAACTTCTTAGCTAAATTTGGTCCTACATTAACAAAAAATTCATTAAATCTATTCGAAATTGTGTTTGGATTGTTTATTTCCCTGCCATCTTCTAGAGAAAACCTAGAAAGTAGCTGTTTTCTCTCTCCTTTTTGCAAATTAATTCATTTAGTATTTTCCATGTAATTTTCAAATCAGCTATGGCATCATTTAACCGTTTTTGAAAATGCCTTTTCTTATAGACTCTTATAAGATGGTTTAATTTATTTCGGAATATTTTATACTTCGTTCTATTACAGTGACTCGATGCATGCGACAAAGACTAATAATACCCCACGCTCGAGCACAATTTGTAAGTTTTCTGAAATAGGTGTGGAAGACGTCACTGCTGGGTTGCGTAATCTTAAAATATCAAAAGCAACTGGCATCGATATGATACCTTCTCGTGCTCTCAAGATAGCTGCAGATATTATTGCAGCATCAATAACTTGGATTTTTAATCTGTCTTTAAAAACCGGAATATTTGTTGACGCATGAAAAAAGGCTTGCGTATTACCAATTTACAAATCCGGCGATAGACGATTATGCGAAAACTATAGGCCAAATTCGATCTTGCCTGTCATAAGTAAGATACCAGAGAGGTCTGATTTTGATAAATTATACACATTTCTTAATGACAACTCTCTTTTATCAAAATATCAATCCGGTTTTCGGCCAAAGAACTCAACGCTGACTGCACTATTACAGATGTGTGATGAATGGTATCAATATTTGGACTGTGGGAAATTGATCGGAGTTGTTTTCCTAGATATACGAAAAGCATTTGATTCAGTTGATCACAAAATATTGCTACACAAAATGAAAACACAATTTGGTCTTACTAGTATTGAGCTAGGCTGCTTTGAGTCGTACCTTATGAATAGAGAACAGGTGTGCAATATTAATGGGCAATTTTCCTCTCCTAAAAAGATTATAACCGGTGTGCCGCAGGGCTCTATTCTAGGACCATTGCTTTTCTTACTCTACATAAATGATCTACCAGAGTGTCTCAGTAAAACTACTCTCCGCTTATATGCTGATGACACCCAGATATTGGCATCTTCTACTGTATATGCAGATCTAATAGAGAAATTAAATTCCGATTTAAACCAAATTAGCAAATGGCTCGCTATAAATAAATTACAACACCTCCCCACCAAATCGAAGGTAATGATCATTGGATCGGCACAAAATTTAAAAGAAAAGGTTCGAGATTCCCCAGTAATGCTGAATGGGAAAGCGATCCCTTCAACCGACTCCTTTGAATGCTTAGGAGTGATATCGATAATTGATAAAAGAGTACTCTGGGATAAACATATTGAGAAAATATGAAAAAAAAATGGGCGCTGGAATAGCAGTTATGAAACGAATCAAGTCGTTTGTCCCTATTGAAACTATGAGATTGATTTATAACGCCCTTATACAGCCATATTTTGATTACTGTTCTCCCCTATGGGATAATTGTTGTGCTTATTTAAAGGAAAAACTTCAAAAATTTCAAAATCGCGCGGCTAGAATAATTGCCGGTGCTAGTTATGAAATTCCATTGGCTGACGTTATTGAAACTCTTGGATGGGGAGCACTAGAAGGGAGACGTAAAAGGAATAAAGCAATCTTAAAGTATAGAATTTTAAATAAGCAAGGTGCGTCGAGTTTGAAAGAATTGTTGACTAGGATTAGTGCTTTGGAAATTAATTATAATCTTAGAAATTCGAGTAGTGATTTGGTTCTCCCACATCCCAAAAGAGAATTCCTCAAAAATAGCTTTAAACTTAGCGGGACGAAACTCTGGAATAGGCTCCCTTTGCAAGCAAAACTAGCTCAATCTGAATATACCTTTAAAATGAATATTAATAGTCTTGTTATATAACTTACTTATTTCCTCGTAATCATGCAAATATCTTGTAAATATTCTTGTAAATAACTTTATTTGTGTTCCGACGCCTCTCATGGAAACCAGCTTGTAGCTGATGGTGCTAGCGTCGTTTTTTTTCCTTTTTGCTTTTAAATAAAATTTTACATACATACATACATACACACATACCTACATACATACATACATACATACATACATACATACATACATACATACATACATACATACATACATACATACATACATACATACATACATACATACATACATACATACATACATACATACATACATTGAATGTCACAACGATAACATGAGCTAGTAGTACTTAGAGTCAAAGTTTACTTGGTCTATACTTCATGTCAGAGCGCCCAATTAACTAAAAGTGTAAAATTGTTGACATCCAAATTCATTTTTTACTTTCTGCATAATATTTACGCTCGGCGCATCCGTAAACTGAATGAATAAAAAAAGTCTCGCCTAAGGAACATTTAAAAACGTGTTGCGAATTGTTCGAGGTTAAATTTAGGCCTACCTTAAATTGAAGCTTATATTACGTATAATAACATACCTAACATATACATGTTTGGGAATTGATAATTTTGTAATTAAATTTGTAATTGATAATTTTGTAATTAATTTTGTAATTAATTTTGTAATTAAATTTGATAATTTTGCAAAAATATTCTTAACAAAATTATCGTGTTACCATGGCACTACTTTAAATATTTCATGTTTGGAAAATACAATGCCTAATGATTTTGTCAGCAAGGCGAGCGGTTTCTGCATGCATGTATCTGCATGGAAAGAGGATATCTAGTTTGAGAAGGCGAGATGTTAGTTTTCTTTGTGAAGAGTTTGATAAAAAGACAAATGATAAGGACTTTCTAGATTTGAAAGGCGACGCTTCATAGTGATGACACACGAAAAGGATACTTGCTCTACAGCGAGAGTGTATCTGAAAAGTATCATAAATGGCCAAAACGTAGGAAATTAGCTCCGCGAATGTCTTTGGCTTTGCTGATGTTGAATGTACGGGAATGTGTATTGTAATATTGTTAAGGTGTATATATCCAGGGACGGCGGAACTGGGGGGGGGGGGGGCAATTGCCCTCTTGCCTTTTGCTAGGAAGGACAAGGAGGGCAAGGGTGCCCTTTGAGTTATAAAATACTACCTGATAAATCACATTTCCAGTGATGTTTTTTGGGCAAAATCATGAGTTGTGATCTTGAATGTGACCTGATTAAGTGCGTTTGTTTTCATTGGCAAGTTACCACATAATTGTAAGTTTATATCTTTACCGGGGTCTATAGAGGTGCCCTTTGGTGCGCGTTTGCCCCCCCTTGTCTTTTTATCGTTCCGGCGTCCCCGTATATATATCGAGTGCCTTTGCCAAAGTACGAAGAGAAGGAAATATGGTTCTCTAGGGTAGACTGTATACACTGCTGTTTCTACCGGTGTAAACAGCAATAACCAATGTATGTGATTTATTGCTGTATTGATTGCATTACTTCCCCAAAACACCGCTACCATCACGGTCAGTATGGTTTGATATATTTAATATGCACGAAAGTTTACGAGCTTTATAATGATTTTATCCCATAGCCATAATAGAAAATATCTATCATACGAACGAGTAGGAATCTGTCGTTCAGTTAGTTAGGCTATTCGTGGGTTCTCGTGCTACTGTGTAGGGTTACTAATAAGCTATCACCCACATACTGTACACATATGTACACCGCCGAAGAATTGATTTATGTATCATGCATAAATTATATCATAGTGGGCTATTTTCGCATTTGGTTTACTCTACCTAATCCTTCGTCTAATTTTTTATCCAAATTAGACATATTTAACCAATTTCTATTATTCCCACAAATTTTCACACCCACACATGCACGCACAAATCAGTATAAACGCGGATGCAACATAAACTCATGGCGGAGATAAACAGATTGATTGTCTTACCATTTGGCCCTGTGCATAAGTAAGCCACTGTCAAAAACGATGAAATTATTCCAAACTTCATTATTTGGCTGATGTTCACTTCTTGTTGCTTGTCTGGACAAGTGCAACGCAGTTAACTTATTTATCGGAGCAAACTGCTGTTCAAATAAACAAGTTAACCAAATTCTCGAAGTATGTTGTTAAAATAAGCTTTTGCCGGATGTTCAACAGGCATGCATGTATATATGACGTAAATGATAATGCGGTCAAGTGCTGCCTATTTTCAATAAAACAAAGCGGTCTTTGTGATTGTGTTCGTGTGATTAATTCGGACAATGATCAGGAGAGGAAACAAACGTAACAGAAAGTGTGGCGATACCGTCCCATCATGTTCCATTACTGAGTTCTTCAATGCTGAAGAGTAAATTAAATTGACGAGTTGCAATGTCAAGCATGTTCATTGTCGTAGTAATTTTTTTTTTTGAAACGATCATTAACTCAAAACATAATAAGGATGTCAGCAACTGTCAGAATGTTAAAATTATAGTAAACTTGATCATTTGACTGGTGTTTGTCTGTTACTGCTGGTTTCAACAAGTACCACAAAATTTTTTGACACGAACAACTGTTTTGCAAACAATAAAGATTTTGCATGAAGTTCAACGTAAACGTATTCAGTGTTGGAACTAGTTGCACTCTGGGATACAGTATTGAAATTGGTAAGCAACGAAATTCCCCTTAATAATTTGAGTCATATTGGACTCCAGTCGAGTCGCTGAAACTATAGCGACTCAAGCTCACCGAATCCAAGTCAATAGCGAGCTTATAAGCATGTAGGAGGACAACACGACGACGACGGCGAAAACAAATTCCTTCATATAAATTATAGTAAAGAAAACTTGTCGTATATTATAATTCGTATGAATTTAGTTCAGCATAAGAAGCTGAAAACATTGGCCTTAAGTTTGGGAAGAATTCTTCTGACCGAATTTTGAGTTAATTGCACTTGTTACGGCTTGAAATGCAGGCGTTGTATAAAAGACGTGAAAATCTGTGATTTGCCGTTGTAAACGACGACCACGTCTGAAACTCCCTTGGACTTTAATTATTTCTTTCTTTCATTGACTCATTGTATTGTTTGCTGTCGTCGTCGTGTTTCTGGCCTATATACTTAAGCTGCCTATAATGACTCGAAACGCTGCACGTATGGCGCTAATGACATATGGTTAAGTGCACTTTGATTCTTTATTCAAACAAAGCGTCCTTGTGACGGTATTTACATAGTAATCAAACGGCTCAAATGTGTGAATGGAATAACTAACGATTGATAGGTGAAACTAAATTTTGATCATATTTAGATGGGTAAAGCATTGGCAGAAATTGCGATGATTTAAACCGTTTATTTTCCATGTTTGATGTGTGTCGTCCAAAAAGTTATATTCTATATAATTTACGAAAGGACATCACGTTTGCGTGATGGATCGCATGATCTTGAAGGCATGATGTATAACGTTGTAGAGGTTTCTTCCCCTATTAAACTATTTTTAGATTTCAATGCCCAAAATACAACGTATCTGAAGATGGCGACCCTTATAAAATAGTTATTATCCTCAATTATTTGTGCAATATAGAATACTAAGTCTAAGGTGTCAACACGCGCAGTTAAATTCCAAGTAAAGCATTAATAATATATTTAAAAATGGCGTAAATAGTTAAATGTATATACCGTATATCATGCAATGTAATTTTGCAGAGTGGGGTTTTCATGCTGAAGTTATACTGAAAAGTACAAACTTGAACGAGACTAGAACAACGTTAAGTCAGTTTATGTAAACTTGTCTAAAACATACTTTGTGTGTGTGTGTGTGTGTGTGTGTGTGTGTGTGTGTGTGTGTGTGTGTGTGTGTGTGTGTGTGTGCATGGTGTTATGTATTCAGGTGAATATGATGTTTGTGATGTTATGAGGGACGTTTAGTAAAATTCCCTTGGGCGGCGCCCAAGGGAATTTTACTAAACGACCCTCATCGGGCGGGACGTTTTCAATAGCTAATTCGCCTCTTTCTATGCTATTACCTTGTAATTGCATAATAAATTGGGAATTGGGATACTAGTCCAATGCGATACCAACTGAGCTACGAGCTCAACTTGGTTCGATATAGTTCGTGATATTTCGGAACTGAGTCTAATTCCTTCGATATCAATCTATTCCAAGATATTATACTAGCTACTTTTTGTGTGTGTTGGTGTTATATGTACTCAGGTGAATATGATGTTTGTGATGTTACTGTCAGTACTGTCTACAGAAGTTTTGATAAATAATCAAGGCACCGACAGTATAGAATTTGCAAGTTATACATGTACTGTACAGAATTCCAATTATTATCGAGATAAAATGAGCTAAACACACATGCAGTATAGACACCTGGCGTCGTTAATCCTGTGGTCGGGACTGCTTCTCGTGTGGTACACGTAGTTGCTGATGATGTAACTGCATGTATGATCAGTACATCCCGTGTTCTGATAAATGATACTCAAATTTGATCTCATGGGTATCACCCACTCTTAGTCAAATTATAGTGTGGTCATGTGATTAAATATTGAATGGGGGGGGAGGGGGGCGCAACATATTTTTGGACCAGGAACTGGTCCCCAATCGCTGCTAATCTTGTTGTTGTTGTTAGGGGGCGACGCTCTTTGAAAAAACCCTAAAGGCCTGATTCCACGAGCGCTTTTTCTTGGCGAAATGCGCATTATTTCGCCTGTTTCTTTTGAATTGCGACCACTCGAATAAATTATTTCTACTTGATTGCTCACAATTCAAAAGAAACAGGCGAAATATTTCGCATTTCGCCAAGAAAAAGCGCCCGTGGAATCAGGCCTTAAGGTTCCGTCATTACTTGTCTGATCGGAATGAAATTTGAAACAATTATTCTAAGCAATATTCCGCATCGATTGACAGTGTTCGATTTTTCATTTTTGACTTTAGAAGCAAGATACAAGCAATTTTTGACTGTATTCGTAGCAAATAATATATACATATCATTAATATTCAGCAAATATATCAGCAAACGCAATCGATAAGAAAGACATTGTCTTGTCTATTGTTGTGAACACAATCACAATAGTCTAAACCTTCTCAAGAATGTGAACGACTAATTATAACAATTAATTATAAGCGTTAAGTTGACTAAATTTAACACGCTGGCTTAGTTTCTCAAAGCATAGTGGAGTAATATTGCTATCTGGCTGTCATATAATATTCATAGTCCGATAGAAAATCGTGAACCGTAAAAACAAAGACATGAAAATTTTTTTTAGCACAAGCATGCAGTTATGAAGCCATGACTAAGCGAGATGAAATTGCATTAACCTGGCAACAATTCAGATAATTTGTTACCTTAACTTATTTTGTAATTAATGGCAGGCACGGCAAGGCAAAATTTGATGTACGGCAAAAGTTAGCTGACTTAGGCACGGCATGTTTATTCTAAATATTGCGGGACATTTAACTTATCTATCGAATTCAAATGCGAGGAAATACTTTTGAAAACTGCGCATTTAGTTATCTATGCTTTGTCCAGATTTACACCTCATTTAGGCTATATACACAGGGCACTAGACACATTTTGCCCGGATAAAGTGTATCTTGCATGACCAAATTAAAGCAAAACATTTAGCGAACTCAGTCTACGTTGCAAACTTCGAGAACATTAGTTTCACAAGTGTCTAGTTATTTGTTTATCAAGTCAAAATCTCGAAGGTTTTGAACGTTTAACGATTTGCTCAAGATCGAAACTGGGTCACGCAGTTCCTGGTCCACTATAGTACGATCGTACTTGTTACTTCACTTAGGTGAAGTCACCTGTTCTCAAGCATTGTGTTTGGCTAGGAATAATTGGTGAAAAAATATAAGCTTGATTCAGACGGAAATGCAAAAATTAAATAAATGAATATGAATTTATATTATTATTATTGCTTTGATGAATAATCGAACAATTTGATTTGCGATTGAACAGTAACGGTCTAGAGATTGATATATGATATCATGAACATCAAATATTTATTATTAGTATAAATTTTGCATATCGATCAAATGAGCTTTCGCGCGTTCTGATTGGCTAGTTGGATAGTAAATCTGACACATTGTTTGGCACCTGACTAGTAAATGCTTTTCAAAAAGAATGATTCGGCAAATTTGGTTTCAAAATCGACGAATATTGAAAAAATCGTCCCCAGATTACGAAAAAAGCACAAAATGTTGTATTTAACTTGAAAGGTATAGGATTTCTTTATTATATTTTACTGTATCAAATATATTCACGTACAATATATTTAAAACTTAGTTAAAACTCCGAAATATTCACTTTAAACAAATAGCAAAAAGAAAAAGCGTGAAATTCTTTCAAAACCATTTTGTTTTGTATCCTATCGATATCTCAATTTGTACGATACCATTTCTTTTGATACTGTATGTCATGTTTTCATTGCTGTATGGTGTCCTCCCGCTGTATTGTGTTTTCGAAACTTTTATTAAAAGTGAAAAGTGTATTAGAACTCTATTTCGAGGCATTCGAGCAACAGTTATACATATCACTTTACCAATTCTCTCTGCGATTTCCGTTGATTGCGATTAAAAATAGACTTTGGCGTGGCCATGCGCCAGCGGGAGAGTCGAGAAGGACAGGGGACCTCTGTTCACCAATTTGTCATTTTGTCCCGGGGCCCGTGGTTGGCTCTCGCCGGCCTTAGTTGCATGTGTTTGATCTAGTATACATAGGGAACATAAACACGCGAACTTTTTGTCAACACGGGCATCAAATTGCCAAGGGCGGAATGCAATTGAAAATGTGTTTGTGTCAGTTTGTGCTGGATAAAGCAAGTTATTTTTTATATAACTTGGAAATGTATACCCTTGTTCGGTTGTTCCTTGTTGCTTGATCATGGAAAACCTAGTGATTTTGTAAAGCACCTATCAATGTCAATCCCAGGGGGGGGGGGAAGGTTGGGCATATGTGGGGCATTTGATCAAACCGTCTCCCAAGGGTGGAGATATTTGAATTGACTGCCATTTTGCATTCTTAGAATGAGCCTGTATTCAGGACTGGGCAAACAACTTTAACGACAAATATGTGTGCCCAACAGTGAGGCACAGAATACTACACAGACCATCTTCATTATTTTTTGTGTAAGCACTATTCGCCATGATTCATCACTCAGCAAGTACCATAAACAGAAGCGGTCACCCCCCTGGATGTGTGGCATTTTCAATATTTCCAGGGGGCTGCTTCTGTTTACATGCAGTACTTGCTGAGTGACGAAAAGCGCTTATGCAAAAAACAATGGAGATGGACTTCTGTGTAGTATTCTGTGAGTGGGGTATTGACTGATATCTGTCCCCCCATGGTGGGGAATTTAACCAAATAACTTAATGAAAAATCAAATGCCCCACATATGTCTGACCATGCATGGGCTGCGGCTTAACTTTCATAGGTGAATAATTAAAAGTAATGGTCTTTTATTTTCTTTGTACAATTTTGAACAAAAAATATGTTGTGCAACCACAACTACTGCTGATACTTCATTTTTGAAAGATATAGTGGTTTGGTTAGCAAGGCGAGGGGTCACTGCATGCATGTATTTCTAGTTATATTTTTGAGTGAACTACTTGCTACTTCAGTAAAGTAAGCCTGTTAAGTGCTGTCTGTTGTTTTGACAGCGGTATACTTTGTTTGACAGCGGTAAGCTTTAATTATTCTTTGCACGAACATATAAATTAGAATTAATATTTCAATGAATGTAACTAAAATCAATAAATTTGTCTTTTTTTGTTTTCAAAACGCTATTTAATAAAGAAAATAGAAAACATTTTTTCCGTGTTCCTATAGAGTTTATAGAAACACTTGTGAAAGTTTGGGAGAAATTCGAAATTGCGTGGAAACACTCGCACTTCGTGCTCGTGTTCCCACGCAATTTCTCGTTTCTCCCAAACTTTCACGCGTGTTTCTATAACGCTAAAGAAACATGGAAAATGTTTTCTATTTCTTAAATTTTAATATGCTAATAAACAAGCAAGTTGTATATAATAGATACAGTAAAACCCTGCATTTTTGACGTCAAAATTACTGGGTTTTTATGTGGGTATTTAATGTATATCGCAGAGGGGGCTGGACAGCTGTCACGTGAAAATCTCGACCAATGAAATCGCGCTATTTTCCCATCGTGTTTGCGAAGATTTTTGGCCTTCAAATTTGCATTGGACACAGAAGCACTCAAAAAATATATATAAATATTCAAATTTTTCTATCAAAATGCAACTGTGGCCTAAGTATTATAAAAGGACTGGCGATATTTGCAAGAATTTCTGAGGTAAACGTTATTTTTGAACCTATTTTCAACGATTAAAGTTGGTCATGTCGTGGCAACGTGATGACTCAAGTCCGAGTCTGTTTACAACTTTCAACGTAAAAATTCTGGAATTCCCATGGTTCGATTTTCGTAATTTTTGCAAAAAATTCAAGACAAATGTCTAAACAAAAAAACTTCTGGAGGGATGCCCGGGATCCCCCGGCAGTTTTGGAGATACTTGACATTGAAGTGACCATACTAACTTCAACCTTTGCCAAAATGGCGTCTAATAACTGGTGAAGATATTGCGCCACCAAAGCTTGGTTTTCTGAAAGTCCCCCAATATTAGGAGTAAGTGTTAAACTACTTTTGAAAGACTACTTAGAAAACTTAGGAGTTATTTGCCTGTTTTTACAGATTTTATATCTGCGCTGGTATACTAGCCTGCATGCCTATCTCATGCCATCTCCTTGACATGCATGCCTATCTGCTTCGCAAGCGAAATTGTCTGCTGGTAGAGACGATTTTAAAAGAACAGCACATTATATATAAAGTGATCAGATTTTCTCTCCGTGAAAATTCTATGTTCCTTTTTAATTATAGGAGTTCAGATATCGATATGGAATTGATAAAGGGCTTCTTCCTGAACATCCAGGGGCAGGGCCAACTGATGATGTTGAAGAATGAAGACATTTTTGAATGGATTACTAGGATAAATTTTCGATAAAATGATGTATTTTATCTCTTGTCCTTTATGATGTCTTTCTGAAAGTTATCGGTGAATACAAATTGAGCCATGATCCCTCAACGTGGCCAACAACATGCTCCACTAAATATCTGAGCGCAATTGCAATATAGAAAGTGCACATACATGTACTGTATCATATTTACATGCTTGAGCATATTTGATCAAATTTATTGACATTAATTAATAAATAGATTATGTTTGTTATAGTAGTGTAGAGTTGGCACCAGACACTCTTGAAATTAGACCTCAGCCACTTTTTATTAGATGTCCATGGATGACCTAAGAAATTGTTGTCTTTAAACAGCAACTTGCAAGCTTTGTGATATTTCTTGAATACCTCAAAATTTGTCAGCTGCTGTTTACATTATCTACCTCATGTGTTTCGATAATTTTTCTCGAAAAGATGCTGAATTGTCAGCATGCGACAATTCATTTCAAGCACCATGATTGTGTACAATGTCCATGAAAATAGGTTGCCACACATCACGCACAGTATTTTTTGGACAAGCCAGTTTTAACACCCTAGATGGTACAGTTATTGTATATACCTGTAGTATAATTCACCATGTTTGGGTTTTTAGTATGCATGTACACTATAATTATTAAGTTAAAGGAGGAAGCATTTATAATGGCAGGTACATTATTTGATACTTCTGAAGACCATCCAGAGTCAACAGGTGTATATAGAAACAAGTAACTAGAGACCCATATTTTGACTAGAAATAAGAACCATTTAAATTCAACTCAGCCTGCTTTTAACTAAGTATCTATTATAGAACAACACATCTACTTCCAACATCGGAACCAACTTTAAAATGAACTGCAGTCGAACGTTACAACATACATTCCGAACTTACAAAGAAACATTGGTCGTCAGATTTCAAAAACAAATTGAAATTGATAGTAAGATGTAATTTTGTTGTTGGGGATGGGTTGATGCTTTAGGGTTTATGCTCATGCAATTCCTGCAGAAGGGTTACACAAAGTCACAGCAATTTCAAAATTAATTACATGGCTTGACAAAATAAATTATATTCAGTCACGAAATAGGTAGATGCATTTATTTATAGCACATGGTTTTTTAAGTTTAGATATAGGTAATCAGAACCATATTGGTGTCCTACTAATAAATTTATTTATTTAAAAAAAAAACAATATTGCTACTTTTGACCTCGGGAGTTGCACAAGTGCACTTTATAGATATTGTTATCTTATAGATACACAACTACTTAAATTATTTTTGTTTGGCAATAAAGTAAAAGGTAAAAATGCTGAAAAAATCTAAAAAGTTAGCCAAAATGACAATTTAAATAACATCATTTCTGTAACTTGCTAAACCTAGTGAGTTACTATTATATCACAAACATATGTCAACGTACACTCATGCTCCTCCTTACCACTTGAGTCTCCCACTCACCACGTCACTTTAAGAAAATTTTTAAAAAATCCTAGTTTAAAAAAGTCAACCGTATACTTTATATACTGAACATAGGCCTCTAAGATATCTCCTGTGGCAATTAGTCGGTGCAAATACTTGCATACTGTAGTTCAGAAGCAATATAGCCAACATCACATGTGTCCATCCAGTTCCATAGTGTACATCAATTGCAATTGCGCTTGGGTCCATTGGATTCAATGGCTCTGGCTGTATTCTTACCTGCACTGGTTTATCTTGTCCATGAAGAGCAAGGTATGCCTGTTCCAAATGATGTTGGTTATTTGTTCTCATGAGCAGCACCGATACGCTTGAATGGTACAGCATGGGTCATTTCATCCTCGTCACTTTAATCCTCATCACTTAACGGGTCACCACTTTCTGCCCCATCACCTTCATTACCATGTCCATCCTGACCAGGTTCAAGACCAGCCAACCACTCAAGTAGATCTCTTTCTACAAAATCATAACAAGAAAATTTTTATTTTATTATTTTATACATACACTGTAATCTCTAAAATTAGCAATCTAATGCAAAAGTGTGTCACTATTTACAGTAATATTAGAACAACACACAGCTATGGCAATATTTTACAGACGAAAATTGAAAAATATAACTATACTGTATGCACATAGACGTAAAAATCTTTCCATACAAACAGGCATCATACTTCAGCAAAAATTTATTAAACAATTCGTTTAACTCAAACTGACATGTACATTTGTATCACAGTGACACAGTACATATACACACACACAGTGTGTACAGTGTTTAAAAGTGCAAGTTAGAATAAAATAAAAACGGAAATTTGACTATAAAATAACACGATAACTGTAATGCATTGTAGTATACCAACCTCAAATACTGCGCTTGTTTTCAAGTTGATGATACACGGAGATTTAACGCCATCCAACTTAGAAAGAAGAGCCTCGGTATTGGGAATATAAATTAAACATAATTCCTTTTCTCAGACGGATTATTTATCAAACTAAAAAGACAGCACGTTCCATGCAATTTTAAAAAAGGTAAACTTGATCAACAGCAATGAAAGCCAATCGTCGAATTAGGCGCTCAGTACCCATGATGCTTTGCGGCCTGCTGCCCAACCTCCTCTGCAAGTACGTAAATCAATTCGAAGTCTAAATGATTCATAATTAAATTTTCAATTGCCTGATGAAAATGCTTAAAGGCAAGTCCTGATTTTTGTAGAATGATTTGTGCGGATATTGCCATTATCGTGAAACCGCGCCAATAGAAAAATAGTTGAAGCCGTTGGTAATTTTACAGGCGATCTTGACATGTTATAAACAGAAAAACCAGAAATATATAAACCAGAAATATATATCTGGCTATCATCAGGCAATAAACACATGATTACTTCACTTTAAACAATATTGCTGTGGGAAATGACTAGGAATGGATTTTCTGGGCTTTATTCCACCAAGACAAAGTACTTAAGTACATGTCCCAAGTACACACGTTTCAATTTACAAGGACACATTTTCCTTTTACAAGGATACAAAGTATATGTCAAAAACACGCTTATTTTAATGCCTGATAACAGGTGAAGTATTCAAATAATTATTATATAGTTACAGCGTATACATGCTGCACTGGTTAGATCCACAATGTCTAGGCAGATATTTCTATTTAAGATGTTTAGAAAAAGTGGGTTTAGTCAAGCATCTATCTTATCATCTGTGGTTATCACTTTAAAAGGCTTGACCGTTGTTTGTAGTCCGTCGTCTTCCACTTGCTGGAGGTTGATGTAAGATTTCTAAAAATAAATAAAAAAATAGTAATGATGTTAATTAACGCGACAATCTCATTCTTATTGAGTTATTAATACAATATTTTGAATGGCATACACCGGAGCCACAGCGTGTGAATTGTCGGAAACAGTAGAAAAAAAAGCATGCATGGAGTAACCGCTCGCTTTTTCAACTGAACAAATATTTTTTCCGATCATTATATACAAATTGGTCACAGCTGACTGAAAGCAGTTGGCGTCAAGATGACGTTATTGTGGTTGTGATAACAAGACAATATTATTTTGTTTCATTAATTTTTGTACAAAACTAGTGTAAATATTAGTAAATACTGTAGTTATTTACTTGTACAAGTTTCATTTTCTGAAGTGCGTAATGAAAATAATCAAGGGGTAATCTGAAATATATGTCACAGGCTTTTCGTGAAATGTTTCAAAATGCTCATGAATTAAACATGGTCTTGTAAATGGAAATTGTCGAGTGGAAATTTATACATATATATTTATTAGCCTAGACCTAACCAGAAACAGTTGTGAAAAATTCATCTACAGGCCCCTGTCAGGAATTGAACTTGCGGCCCTCTGGCATATGACCTTCAACCCCCCTTCCCGCGTACTGACTCTGGTAAACGAACATTTCTGTACAGTGCTTCCATTCTTTTTAATTGCTTAGATAGAGATTGTAAGCAACTTGCTGCTTCGCCATCTTGCTCTTCATATACTAACGCCAATCAAAAAATTCGTAAAATCTTTCTTAACAAGCTTACCCTTACTAACCATATCGAAGATCTATTTTGTATAAATTGTAAATATTTACTAAATTGTAATTGTATTCATTACTAATTATTTTTTTTCTCAAATGTAAATAGTCGTAATTCTTAATACTTTTTATGCCTGTAAATATCAAAATAGTGCGAGGGCCGTATGTTAGATAACTTTTACGGTTAATACGTTTTCCCTCGTGAAATAAAGTTTCTATTCTATTCTATTCTATTCTATATTGGTACTGGCAATACAGTGCTTTAACCAACTGAGGTACAGACACCAGTTGTCAAGCTCTAACGACAAGTTCATGTATATACTGTATGTACTGCCACATGTTGGTTATGGGTAAATATCAAGATTTTGTTGGCATCACACTTGATTAACAGTTGAAGGATAATGTAGATGAAAATCTAGTATTACCATTATATACTTCTGATTATTGAAAAACCACACCGGGCAGGCTTGAAAAATATGCCTGGCCACGGTGGGAATCGAACCTACGACCTTTGGAATACTAGCCCAATGCTCTGCCAACTGAGCTACGCGGTCAGGTCGGTTCGAATATGCGATATTTCGGAACTGAGTCTAGTTCCTTCGATATCAGTGTAATCTAATAATCATGATATTTCAATGTAATCTAATAATCATGATATTTGCCAACACAGCAAATATCATGATTATTAGTTTACACTGATATCGAAGGAACTAGACTCAGTTCCGAAATATCTCACACTCGAACCGACCTGACCGCATAGCTCAGTTGGCAGAGCATTGGGCTAGTAGTCCAAAGGTTGTAGGTTCAATTCCCACCGTTGCCAGGCATATTGTTCAAGCCTGCCCGGTGTGGATTCACACTCAGAGTAACATCACAAGCATCTTATTCACCTGAGTACACTACACCAACACAGCAAATATCATGATTATTAGATTACACTGATATCGAAGGAACTAGCCTCAGTTCCGAAATATCGCATGCTCGAACCGACCTGACCGCGTAGCTCAGTTGGCAGAGCATTGGGCAAGTATTCCAAAGGTCGTAGGTTCGATTCCCACCGTGGCCAGGCATATTGTTCAAGCCTGCCCGGTGTCGATTCACACTCAAGAGTAACATCACAAGCATCTTATTCACCTGAGTACACTACACCAACACAGCAAATATCACATTGTATAATTGTTTATGACTTCATGAGTTCATGTGAAACCACTACCATAGGAAGCAATTTTGTATGGGGGGGGGGGGCTGATTAATCAGTGGCGATTATTAGGTCATTATTTCCCTCTCAAACTTTACAGATTTTCGCTAGTTTACAAATTATTTGGGGTGCTGCAGACCATAAACCACCACCACCACAACCCCCCCCCCCAACCCCACCCCGGTTGCTACAGCCCTGGGAAACACAATGTCAACTTTGAGGCAACTGAACATTAAGTATAGCACTACTACTTTAATCCAAACATGTGGTATAAATCTGATGCTTATACCATGCATTTGTCCTTCTACTGTATATAGTCCTATCACTTTATATGCATACACTTTCTGACAAAAGTTTTGTTTTCACTTTTCAGTCTGATTCTTCATTACTACTTCCAACATTTTTCCCACATGATGTTCTTTTTACTTCCTGTTCTTTACCACATTATAAAGACAAAAGACTTGAACAACTAGCGACAGATCCTAGCCTCGCCCATAGCTACAACACACTAAGTTCTGTGACTTTAATCACCACAAAACTCCTTCTAAGCTTGATTTATTCCACACGATTGCCCCTACATATGAAACTGTTTTATTTCCTGCAGGTATAGTGTTTTTGCCGTTCCATATAACACACTCTATAGCAATGAGCTATCTATATATAATCTCCATATTGTATCTAAACAGTTTATGATACTGTGCGGTATGTATATACTTGAAAGATAAATGTGCTTCTTAACTTTCTTTGCAGGATTTATCGGTTTTGAAAGATGTTCCATCTTTATTGTCATTGACAAATGAAAAACTGCCTTTGAATTATAAATTGCCAAAGGAATGTGTTTATCTGCCGGGCTTCCACCTTCACTCGAATTCCAAGTTGCACACGGATGCAAGGAGGCAGATTCGCCATTTTATGAAAAGCCAGAAAGCAAAAGACGCAGACTGATTGCTGTTCCACATTGACTATAAGTATATCACGAACGGTTTTTATAACAGCTTATATAATTAATTCTAGGTTTCGTTTTGGATACATCCAAAACCATTTTCATAATGACTTACAGAAAATTGGTCGATTAGTCTCCATATTCTTATCAAATTGGTTTTGGACACGCCCAAACAATTTTCGTAAACTGTGAAACCGCCAAATTTATTTGCATTTGTCTAGGATTGGTTTTGGATGCATCCAAAACCATTTTCATTGGCGCTAAAATCTGTAAAATGATTTCCATTTTCCAATAGGATTGGTTTTGGACGCATCCAAAACCATTCTCATGAGCTATAAATTGGCTAGTTTGTTTGCATCTGTCTAGGGATTGGTTTTGGATGCATCCAAAACCATTTTCATGAGCTATAAATTGGCTCATTTGTTTGCATTTGTCTATGGATTGGTTTTGGATCCATCCAAAACCAATCCCTGGACAAATGCAGGAAAATTAGCCAATATATATGTAGCTCATGAGAATGGTTTTGGATGCATCCAAAACCAATCACATAAAAAATGGAAATCAATTTACCCATTTTAGCGGTAATGAAATTGGTTTTGGATGCGTCCAAAACCAATCCCTAGACAAATGCAAACAAATTAGCCAATTCATAGCTCATGAGGATGGTTCTGGATGCGTCCAAAACCGATCCAAAAGAAAATGGACATCAATTTACCGATTTAAAATGGTTTGGGACGCATCCAAGAGATTGGTTTTGGGCGCATCCCAAACCATTTCCATAAACGCTAAAATCGGCTGATTTGTCTGGGGATTTTTCGCTAAAATCAGTGAATTTTTTGGTATTTCTCTAGGATTAGTCTTGGGCACATCGGTGAATCGACTTCCATTTTCCTACAGGATTGGTTTTAGACGCATCTAAAACAATTTTCATGAACTATGAATTGGCTAATTTGTTCGCATTTCTTTCTCATGAGCTATAAATTGTCTAATTTCTTTGCATTTGTATAAGTGCTAAAATCGGCTGATTTGTTTTCATTTGTCTGGGGATTTTTTGCTAAAATCAGCGAATTGGTTTGCATTTCTCCAGGATAGTTTTGGACATATTGGTCAATTGATTTGCATTTTCTCGCAGGGGTTGGTTTTGCACGCGTCCAAAACCATTCTCATGAGCTATAAATTGGCTAATTTGTTTGCATTTGTCTAGGGATTGGTTTTAGATGCATCCAAAACCATTTTCATTAGTGCTAAAATTGGTGAATTGATTTGCATTTTCGTGCAGGGTTGGTTTTGGACGCATCCAAAACCATTCTCATGAGCTTTAAATTGGCTAATTTGTTCGCCTTTGTCTAGAGATTGGTTTTGGATGCATCTAAAACCATTTCCAAATGCACTAAAATCGGCTGATTTGTCTTGGTATTTTTTGTTAAAATCAGCGAATTCGTTTGCATTTCTCCAGGATAGTTTTGGACATATTGGTCAATTGATTTGCATTTTCTCGCAGGGTTGGTTTTTGACGCATCCAAAACCATTCTGATGAGCTATACATTGGCAAATTTGTCTAGGGATTGGTTTTGGACGCATCTAAAACCATTTTCAAAAGCACTAAAATCGGCTGATTTGTTTTCATTTGTCTGGGGATTTTTTGCTAAAATTAGCGAATTGGTTTCCATTTCTCCAGGATAGTTTTGGACATATTGGTCAATTGATTTGCATTTTCTCGCCGGAGTTGGTTTTGGACGCGTCCAAAACCATTCTCATGAGCTATAAATTGGCTAATTTGTTTGCATTTGTCTAGGGATTGGTTTTAGATGCATCCAAAACCATTTTCACTAGCGCTAAAATCGGTAAATTGATGTGCACTTTCCTGCAGGGATGGTTTTGGACGCGTCCAAAACCATTCTCATGAGCTGTAAATTGGCCAATTTGTTTCATGCACTTGTTTAGAGATTGGTTTTGGATGCATCTAAAACCATTTCCAAACGCACTAAAATCGGCTGATTTGTTTTCATTTGTCTGGAGATCTTTTGCTAAAATCAGCGATTGATTTGCATTTTCCTGCAGGGTTGGTTTTTGACGCATCCAAAACCATTCTGATGAGCTATACATTGGCAAATTTGTCTAGGGATTGGTTTTGGAATCATCTAAAACCATTTTCAAAAGCACAAAAATCGGCTGATTTGTTTTCATTTGTCTGGGGATTTTTTGCTAAAATCAGCGAATTGGTTTGCATTTCACCAGGAAATTTTTGGACATATTGGTCAATTGTTTTGCATTTTCTCGCAGGGTTGGTTTTGGACGCGTCCGAAACTATTCTCATGAGCTATAAATTGGCTAATTTGTTTGCATTTGTCTAGAGATTGGTTTTAGATGCATCCAAACACAATTTCATTGGCGCTAAAATTGGTGAGTTGATTTGCATTTTCCTGGAGGGTTGGTTTTGGACGCATCCAAAACCATTCTGATGAGCTATACATTGGCAAATTTGTCTAGGGATTGGTTTTGGACGCATCTAAAACCATTTTCAAAAGCACTAAAATCTGCTGATTTGTTTTCATTTGTCTGGGGATTTTTTGCTAAAATCAGCGAATTGGTTTGCATTTCTCCAGGATAGTTTTGGACATATTGGTCAATTGTTTTGCATTTTTTCGCAGGGTTGGTTTTGGACGCGTCCGAAACCATTCTCATGAGCTATAAATTGGCTAATTTGTTTGCATTTGTCTAGAGATTAGTTTGAGATGCATCCAAAACCATTTTCACTAGCGCTAAAGTCGGTAAATTGAGTTGCATTTTCCTGCAGGGTTGGTTTTGGACGCGTCCAAAACCATTCTCATGAGCTATAAATTGGCCAATTTGCTTCCACTTGTTTAGAGATTGGTTTTGGATGGATCTAAAACCATTTCCAAACGCACTAAAATCGGCTGATTTGTTTTCATTTGTCTGGAGATTTTTTGCTAAAATCAGCGAATTGGTTTGCATTTCTCTAGGATAGTTTTGGACATATCGGCAAATTGATTTGCCTTTTCCTACAGGGTTGGTATGGGACGCGTCCAAAACCATTCTAATGAGCTATAAATTGCCTAATTTGTTTGCATTTGTCTAGGGATTGGTTTTGGATGTATCCAAAACCATTTTCATTGGCGCTAAAATCGGTAAATTGATTTGCATTTTCCTATAGGTTTGGTTTAGGACGCATCCAAAACCATTCTCATGAGCTATGAATTGCCTAATTTGTTTGCATTTGTCTAGGGATTGGTTTTGGATGCATCCAAAACCATTTTCATTCGCGCTAAAATTGGTGAATTGAATTGCATTTTCCTGCAGGGTTGGTTTTTGACGCATCCAAAACCATTCTGATGAGCTATACATTGGCAAATTTGTCTAGGGATTGGTTTTGGACGCATCTAAAACCATTTTCAAAAGCACTAAAATCGGCTGATTTGTTTTCATTTGTCTGGGGAATTTTTGCTAAAATTGGCGAATTGGTTTGCAATTCTCCAGGATAGTTTTGGACATATTGGTCAATTGTTTTGCATTTTCTCGCAGGGTTGGTTTTGGACGCGTCCGAAACCATTCTCATGTGCTATAAATTGGCTAATTTGTTTGCATTTGTCTAGAGATTGGTTTTAGATGCATCCAAAACCATTTTCACTAGCGCTAAAGTCGGTAAATTGATTTGCATTTTCCTGCACAGGTTGGTTTTGGACGCGTCCAAAACCATTCTCATGAGCTATAAATTGGCCAATTTGCTTGCACTTGTTTGGAGATTGGTTTTGGATGCATCTAAAACCATTTCCAAACGCACTAAAATCGGCTGATTTGTTTTCATTTGTCTGGAGATTTTTTGCTAAAATCAGCGAATTGGTTTGCATTTCTCTAGGATAGTTTTGGACATATCGGCAAATTGATTTGCATTCTCCTACAGGGTTGGTATGGGACGCGTCCAAAACCATTCTCATGAGCTATAAATTGCCTAATTTGTTTGCATTTGTCTAGGGATTGGTTTTGGATGTATTCAAAACCATTTTCATTGGCACTAAAATCGGTAAATTGATTTGCATTTTCCTATAGGTTTGGTTTTGGACCATTCTCATGAGCTATGAATTGCCTAATTTGTTTGCATTTGTCTAGGGATTGGTTTTGGATGCATCCAAAACCATTTTCATTAGCGCTAAAATCGGTAAATTGATTTCCATTTTCCTTAGCTGATGCTATCTTAACCAAAACTATTGTAAATTATAGCATATTCGTACCATAGATTCCTTGTATATTATTGCCTTTATTGTATATACTGTATCTTAATAAAGTGGGTATAAATAAAGTTTTTTTTTAATCTGTTGTCAAAGTGTTTATTTACTGTTTAGTTGGGTTTTTTATGTTATGTTAGGCGGTTTGCGATATATTCAAAAACGAGTGCTGTTGAACGCATTCAAAACCACTTCTCCAATTACTCATTCATAAATGTTTTGTAATTGCATTGGATCTATCCCATTTGGACAGATTTGATCATTCCCCTGCAATAGTTCCAGAATTGATATTTTTCTGGACTATTTTTAATAAATTAGGTTGATTCTGCAAGACGGAAACAAATTATGCCCGTTTTTTGACGATATGAGCTGATATGTAGGCATTTATCTAAAAATTAGGCTAAATAGAATATGCAACCCTATCGTAGAACGTGTTAACTGCTATTTGCCGTGATTATGATCAAATCAATAGTATTTGAAATGAAATGTGCAATTTATATTATACAGCTTATTCTTGAAAACTTTAAGGAAAATGTGTTTAGGCAAATAAATTTCAAAGCAACAAATGTATATTAATAAACAATTAAATCAAGCTCGACGTTAATGAAATAACATCTCTAATTATAATTCCCTACTTCGCATTTCTTGAAAGCAAAGTTGAAAAAGAATGAATGTTTCACTATCACCTCATTTTATCAAACTAGCGTCCTCAGTTTCTTTCATGTTTTTAAAATCTGGTTCAATCTGGCAGTAAGTTGATCACATATGCATAGTCATAGCCATAGTCTATGCGCATGCTCCGGAAGTAAGCATAACCAGTAAATAAGGTTCGCTGATTGGAGAGAAAAAGGTTACCAAAATACATTATGCATTGAGTTGCGCGTGCAAGGAACCTGATTATATTACTGATATGTAATCGGTCATATCTGATTTAAATTTCACATTTGCATATGAAATGTAATTATTTTCACATGTTACTTGACATGAAAGTTATTGTCACCTGTCGGCTATTTTTATAATATATACATGAAACACATAGACTACTAAGTGAAGCTCATAATTTGGATGCGAAAATTTAGAAATTTAAATTTATTTCCGGCTAGGAGATTTGGATTTTCAGCGTATTCCTATAGTAGTACAACGCAAATAACCTGTACATGGACGCACCTCATTATCATGCTTACTCCAGGTATGTAGTACACATATCCTGAGGAGTAACATTTGTAACAAAAATAACTGCCACAAATAACTAGCACGTTATACTGCTTCAAAGAATCGGAAATCTTCGCTAACACTTGCACTAATAATATAACAGATGAAGTATCCAACTAAGATTTCTATAGTTACAGTGAAGTATAGTTTGTAAAGTTCAAAATTAGTTAGTGAAGCTCAAAATTTGGATGCAAAAATTTAGAATTTTAGATTTAATTTAGGCCAAGAGTTTTGGATTTGCAGCGTATTCCTATTGTAGTACAACGCAAATAACCTGTGCATGGACTAACCTCATTATCAGCCAACATGTCATGAAGATCTTGCCATATTTGAGAAAATGTTGGTCGATTACTTGGGCTAACCTTCCAACAATTCTTCATTATTTCATATCTGAAAAAGACAAATATAGACAAACTTTATCTTTTTCCGTAATAAAATTTGAAAGCTTAAAGAAATTGACAATAATAATATCGTCTTCTGATGAAGGGTCAGATTGGCAAGAGTACATTAATTTTGTGAATTCAAAAAAACGGTTGTTATATAGTCCGTTTGCTGTGACTTCGAAAGGTGCCATTTTCATTTAGCATGTCCTGGAACTGAAATATTCTTATTGGAACTTAACACTTTCGAACACGCTGAGTTCAAATCCGAAAACTTCGCGAACCGTAGACTCGCATTTTTCTCACAAACTGCTATAATTTTGTCTTCACTAATTTCACGACAAATTTTTTCATTGCTCAGCGACACGGATAGATGAAGACATGCACGATTGCATAACTCAAAATGACTAATTCCTATGAACCAGTCTCTACATTGCATGAACAAAAGACCGTTTTGCCTGGATCATTTTGAGCTATGTAATTTTAAGCCCGTTGGACCTAAGCTACATATCTTGTCTACAACTTTGGGAAGGTACCGATTCGCTTTGTAAAATCCTCAGTTCTGATGGCTGTATCTCTACAAAATCACAAGGACGTCAATGTTAAGTCGTTGGGCTATGTCTCTTTGGGATGAAAAATAACTATACAGAACAGATTTTATACTTTGGCACTGATCTTTGTTTTTTAATTTATGTGAACATTTCTTCTTCTAGTTAAGTCCCGCTCACACTACACAACGATAACGATACGATAAATTGCAAACACGCGATAATTGGCAAAACAATTGTGTTGGTGTCCACACGACAACGAAAATAATAAAATTATCGTTTGACGGTAACGATTTTAAAATCGATAATGATCCTTTTTTCAGACGCACGATAATGATAACAGTGACTAATCAGCGCGCGTATGCAAGTTATCGTATCGTTATCATTGTGTAGTGTGACCTGGGCTTTAAGGTTATTTAAGATTCATCCTGTCGTAAGTCTTCTACCAGCAACCAATCGACAACATTTCATTTTAGCGTTGTTTTTGCCATTACGTTGGCTTCGGATTACTTTTGTTTTAGATATTACATTGATCGCGTTAAAATAGTTATTTTTTAGGCCAGTGACATAGCCAAAAGACTTATAAGGTCCACATACACCGGACGCGACGCGAAAAAATATCTGAAGAAGTGATCATCGCGGCAAAGTTTGTGCACAAACTGGTGGCGATTTTTCGCACGCAAAGAAACAAAATGGCTGACACCGAAGAGGACTTGTTGTTGTTTTTGCTCGTTTACAGACGGTGTTGGCCGCTCAAAAGACGAACATTGGTTACGAGATAATAAGAAAAAGGCAGGAGCTAGGTTAATTTCACCGTCTCGTGTAAGAACTTAAGGCCCTGTCACACTATTGCGTATGAGAGAAACGTATGAGAAGCGTATGAAAATTAATGAAATAATTTTCATACGCTCAAAAATCCTTTGAAATGCCAGCGTATGAGTACCGTACATCTGGCGTACCTCTAGCGTATTCAGCGTGTGCCTAAAGTATGCTTATCGTATAAAGCATACGTCCGATACGCACAAAACTTTTGAACATGCTTAAAAAAGTTTTCTGCCTCGCCGTATGCCAGCGTATGCCACCGTATGCGACCGTGCTTGAAACGTATACAACCTATGCCTAACGTACCCCTGGCGTATTTCAGCGTATACCGGCGTATGAGTGATATTTTTCATACGCTGGCATACGCTAGTACGATACGCAATAGTGTGACAGGGCCATTAGGTTTGATCAACAAAGATTCCTCCAGTATTTCAGAGTGACCATTGACGCCGGAAGATCGATCATTTGGGGGGGGGGGGGCAGATATTCCTATTTTCGTGTTC